AATGATAATTGAAATTAAGTATAGAGTTTTATCTTGTTTTTTTCCATCCCCACATTTCACTTTGTTCAAGAAAAAAAATGGGAATAAGAAATAACTGCTGTTTAGGTGTCATTAGAAGTTTCAAGAGCATGACACTAGTAATCCAATTTAAGGTTCTCATTAGCAGTTGCGACGAATTTCTTAATCTCACTTGAATAGTATTTGCAAATTTTCCCAATCCAAGTTGATGGTTTCAGTATGTTATGGTGACCCTTGTTCAATCAAGTCTTCTTGTTAGAGGGTGGAGTCTTATGTCTGCCTATCATATGTATGTATTCACATAACAAGGCTCCTTAGAATTATTATTATTTTATTATTATTATTATTATTTTTTATGAAAGGCTCCTTAGAATTGTTTGTACCCAGATGGGAATGGATTATGGATAAAATTCAAACCTTTATTTTCGACATAGTTTACTTCACTCTTTACAACTTGAGCCTTGCCTAATACCAACAAGAGTTTGATCAAGTTGGTTCATACTAATTTCAAAACATTGATCTTGGGTTAATGTTAGAGTTTCAAATCATGAAAGAGTTAACTCTTTATATACCAAAAATGAAAAAATTGAGCTTACCCTAAGAGGTTCACAATTAACTGAGGGCAATGATTCACACAATGTCTACTTACAATGAAATTTTACAATCCTAAGTGATAATTATAGTAATTATGATTAATTTTTTTCATTTAATGGAATGCATGAATCTATATTTATCCACTTGATGCCATTTATTTATTACAAGAATTCGTTTTAAGAAATATTGTAGATGAATCACCTTTGATTGAATAAAGCATTACAAATTAGTAATGAAAAGATGGAAATTTCAAAGAGAAATTGTTCACTTGCTATTTATAACTCTATGCACAGTACACTTGCAAAGTTACAAATCAATGAAATCAAGGAAAGAATTAAGGAAATCTTTTAGACCATTGAGAGTCAATTAAGGGCATGATGACGATTGAATCTTCTTAAAGTGGAAGGAGAGGTTTTGAATCTAGAGCAAACTCTAGTAGGCAGCTTAAGGAGTGGACTAGAGACAAGTTGTGATTAAACCATTATAAATCCTTATGTTTGAGATTTCTCCTCCCTTAACTTTTAATTTCTGCAATTTATTTTAATAAGAGTCAATTGTTTGT